TGTTTTTAAATATTTTTTTATGATTTTTTATTTTAATTTAATTTTTTGTTTTTATTATTATTTTTAGTGAATTAATGATTTAGTTTTAAGCATCCTGGTAAATTATCGATAAAAATTATAAACTTAAGCTATCCAATTGCAGTCAAAATATACTTTAATATTTGCAAAAAGCATAGTTTGCTTAACAAAATATATATAAAATATTATTTTTTCGTTCTAGGAAACTCTTTAAATAAAATATATTAAAATACGAATTTATAAAACTTACTAACAATCTTATAAATTTTATGTCTAACAAATAATTTAAAATTAAATAAAATATGTTGTTTGAAGTTCTCTTAATCTCTTATCAGTCTAGATAACCCATAAAGCAGAAAATTGAGATCCATTAAATTCAACAGACAGACAAAACGAAATTTATGTAAACCCACCTTACATTATAATTGAGTTTATCTTTTTTTTTAACGAAAAATGTTTAATTATAAAACAAAAGATGATGTCAAATTCAAGCTAAAAAGCATTCACTAATCTAATGAAGATAGATAGCAAGGCATTTCCTTAACGTCTGCTGAGGCATAGTTTTTATTTTGGACACGAGCAGCTGTGATTATTATTATTATATTCTTTTTTTTTAGACTTAGCCTGGCACAATTACGCTGAAAACAATATCGTAAACATATATTTAGACAGATGTGTATTGTAAATAATTGATTTACTACTGTGATTTTTACCCCCGTAAACAAGACATAAATTTCAAAGCAAATCGTGATGATGCCACGAAGATGACGTTGCCTGAACGAGGCAAAAACCAATTGTTCTAAAGCGAAAAATTCGAATATGAATCAGTCGGCAAACCAATTAAGGAACTTTTTTTTTTCTTCTTTGCAAAAAATATATAAATGAATGGCAATGAGTAAACAATTTGAAGAAGTTTCTTTTTGCTCGCTTTCTCATACTCTATTTTGATTCTTATTTAAGATGTCCAAAGCTTCCTGTTTCTTGACAAAGATCCGCACTATTTTATCCACATAGTTATCCTTGAGTAAGGGTGAGATCTCTTTGAGCCGATGGTTTTGTATATCCCAATTTAGATATTGTGGTGCTTCAATTTCCGTACTAATCTTGATTTCAGATTGCGCCGGATCCGGGCGACTAGATTGAGACGAATGGATAGCGGATTTATCAATGGATTTAAGCAATTTGCTATACATACTCGTATCCGCTTTTTTGCTTTCCAAATAGGAGGACACACTCTTGCCAGGACTCTCATTGAGCATCTTCATCATGTTATAGGCCCCCATTGGCGATGGTTGCTCAATTGAATACTGCGGCAGATTGCCAACGATATTTGGCTGAGCCGCTTCCAGTGGCTTGGTCTCAGGGCTCGGATTGATTTTCTTGACAAGACGCTGCAAGAGACTCTCATTTTCAGTGGCCTCGGCTGCTGGTTGCACTGACTGCACTGACTGCACTGGCTGCACTGGCTGCTCTTGCTGCACTGGCTGCACTGGCTCCTGTCGCTGCTCTGAAAACATTTGGCCAAGCAGCTGCAATTTCGAGCTGTCAATCTGTTCTACGGGCTTTGGCTGTGCCTGCAACGGCTGAGCTTTGGGCTGCTCGCCTATTGCCGCAGGTTTCGCTTGCTGCACCATGGCCAACAGTTGATCCACAGTGGGATAGGATACGCCCTGTGTGGCACTCGCCTCGCGATCACGTCGTTTGCCCTTCTGCGGCTGCAACAAAATGGCCTTTCGCTTCTTCTTTTTCTTCTTCTTCWGCTCCATCTTTTTGCCATCATTTGTTCCACAGAATTGCTGCTTGCCCTTGTCACCTTCGGTGTGTATGGCATTCTGCTGATCATCGTGCTCGATGCGACTCATTAGAGCATCCAAGCTCGGCTTAATCTTTGATGTATCCTCATAGTCCTTGGGCAGATAGCCCAATTGCCGCAGATATACAATCGGGGACTCCCAGTTCTTGATTAAGTCCCGCACAATCGCATTGTAGTTATTGTGAAAGCCCAGCTTATCCATCGACACTCTATCCACAGTAGCCCCAAGATAAGTTAAGAAACAGCTAAGCATCCACAGATAACACAGCTGTGTACGCATTGCGATACTAATGGACTTTTTAGCCAACGATTTCTTAAGTAATTACATGTAGGTATATTTTATTTTTGTAGCTAACTCTGAGTGTTAGATCAAGGTTAGAGTAGTTTATGTATATTATGAAAAACTAGACAGATCTGATGTGATGCTCTATCTGTTATAAATAAAATAATTCACGAAAATACAATTACAAAATATTTAAAACATCTCCCGAAAGAGAAATTCTTTTCCTTATTGCTCCAAGAGAATAGTAATTTCTTGTATTTTATATATGAGAATATACCCCTTAAATCCAATCAAATTTAGTAAAAAGTAAGCCACTTTAAGTTTAACAATTCCAGGAAGTTTCCTCCTTAACTGGTTTAGACCAAAAGTTTCAAATTTCCATGAAATCTCCAGCCGAACGATAGCTTCAAAGCTTGCGCAAAGGTTTTCAATTAACGATCAAATAAATGTTTAAGCTATAAATCAAATTAAAAGTCCAAGCAAAGTGTAAAAACGATAGCAAAATAGCCATAAAATTTTTGAAATTTAAATTTGTGACATTAACATACATAAGCCTCGAAGCAGCCAAAATAAATGAAATGCCAAAGCTGTGAATTGGCGAAATTCAAAGCAGAACCAGACGAAGAGGAGTTCAAGACTGAAAACCTAAAAGATTTGAGCTATGTTGTCAAGCGATTCGACAATGACGAAAGCAGATCTTAAGCTGAGCCCAAAGATGAGCCACGAATGATGTTTGGCAGTTCCAACTACATATATAATATCTTATAATTGATGGGCGAATTTCGGTAATCAATTCGACTCTGCGGATGGTGCCAGGCGGATGGACGCCACAAAGCCTCGAGCAATTTGAAGTGTGACCGCGTAAACTGAATATGCGATTTATATTTAGACAAACGACGTCATTCCCATTGTAGTGAATGAAAGTCCCAAGCCGAAATATCTCTGTGTGTGAAGAGTTGAGTTGAGTTGCGTGGCGTTGCGTTGCGTTGAGTTGAGCCAACATAAAGCAGATCGTCAGGCCGTGGCCAAAGAGCAAAAAAACAGAAAACAAATACGCCAAGTCATCCACTGTCAATGCCTCGCATAGCCCGCACTTTGCCCAGGTGGGCAAGGCGCGTGCGCGCATGAATCAGCGCAAGAGTTTTGGTTTGACTGCGTTTGATTGAATATGCATGAGGAGGCTGGCAGCAGCTAACTAACTTGAACTCTGGAATCTGGCGGGTCCAGATGGAATTACTATATATATGCCATAGGCACTAATTTAGCTAATTAGCACAGCACAGAAAACTTGCGGTTGGCATACAAAGCATTTTCATTCATTCATGCTTTTGTTTAGGTCTTAATGAGTATTCACTGAGATCTATTTACACACAGCGCCCACGCCCACCCACTCACCCACGCTTTAGAAATTATTATTTTGCTTATGAGATGCCAATGAAGTGGCAAATACGTCATAGCTTGCCACATGCAATGCACACACACATACACACACACAACACGCACTAATGTTAATAATTTTGGCCAACTTATGTATTTGCTCAATTATTTGCCACTTTTGAAGCATGTGTCAAAAGTTATTCCCCGTTGCCAAAAAAAAACAAATATTAATAAAATAAAATAATACATAGAAAATAAATAAAAAAGTCAACAAGCTTAGTTAAACACTATTGGTGAGAATTAGTTAGGCGCTCTTCTTCTTCCTCGTTTTTTTCTGCATATTGTCTAATTCGTATGCCAAGCACGTCTTTTAACACTGGTCTTGTGCCTATCCAAAAAGTTCCCCGAAAAATGGTTTCAGGTGAGAGATTAAACAGAAGAAGAAGCCGCAGCGAATCCGGTTCGAGCTTTCAAACGGGAAACGCGCGAGTTGCGATGGGCGTGGCAACGATTGTGTAAAACTAATTAAATGCAACAACAATGCATACCGCAATGTTAATTTAACGTCTATTAAGTAATCATTAAAACAAATGATTGTAGTTTGAACTTTTAATTGTCATTTAGAGATCATACGTTTTGTGTTTAGATATTATATCATTTATATAAATATTAGCACTATATAAAGTGGTTTATATTAAATTTGAAATATACTCACAATTTTTATAAAAAAATATACGAATATATTAGACAGATTATAGGAGACATTTATATTAATTATGAACAAAAATGGTCAATAATATTTTTGTGTTTATATTGTATTA